GGGTGATTGTGACTGTTAGAAATGGGTGGCTGTAACTGTTTGAGATATGATGACTGTAACTGTTGGAAATATGGTGATTGTAACAGTTTAAAATTTGTGACTGTAACTCTTGGTAATATGGTGACCCTAAGTGTTAAAAATGGGTGACTGTTAGAAATTGGTGACTGTAGCTGTTAGAAGTGGTTGACTGTAACAGTTGGTAATGGGTGACTGTAGATATTAGAAACATGCGACTAACTATTAGAAATTAGTGACTGTAACTATTAGAAATAGGTGACTGTAACGATTTGAAATGGGTGACTGTAACAATTTGAAATGGGTGACTGTAACAATTTGAAATGGATGACTGTAACTGTTGTAAATATGGTGACTGTAAGTGTTAGAAATGGGTGACTGTAACTGTTAAAAATTAGTTACTGTAACTGTTGGAAATATGATGACTTCATATGTTACAAATATTGTGATTCTCAACTGTTGGAAATGGGGTGACTCTAACTGTAAGATATGTTCTAACTATTCTTCTTCTTCTCTTTCTTTTTTCTCTTCCACCTTGTACTTCAGCAAAATGTCGGGGGGAGATGTAAAGTTGGTTTATGAGTTCTGTCGAGAGCACTATTAGGACTGATGTTCATTTCTGAAGGGCTGTTCTTAATACCATCACTCCATATTTTCCGAGGTCTTCTGCTCGCTCTATATCCATTGTAATGTTTCAGTGGGGCTCGCTATGGTAGATAATAGCAGGACATTTTTGTTAGGTGTCCAAACCACTTCATTTGTTGTTCTCTGGTGACCTGTAAGATTGGCTTTATTCCTAGCATTCGTTTGATTTCGTAATTTTGTATTCTGTTTTTCCTTGAAACTCCTGCAGCTCTTCTGCTTTTCAAAAAGAATTATGAGCTTGAAATTACAAGTAGGAAATAGTTTCTTTTTCAAATATATGCTCCATGCAATGGAAATTACAATGAGGATTTAGATCAATTCTTTAAGGACCTGGATGATGAAATTTTTAAGATACATAATAATGAGAAGCTGATCATGATATGCGATTTTAATGGTGAGGCAGGACAAAACAGAAGAACATTTACAATATACCTATGAAGTTATAGAGACAAAAGCATTACAAATGAAAATAGCGAACGACTGTTAGATATATGTGCACAACATGACCTTGTTATTATGTTTTAACTAACTGTTGGAAATGTTGTGACTGTAGCATTGTTGGGGGTAGCTCATGGGAGGGGGAAAAGTGAAAACTGGTCGCCTGGATATGCAAATGTCAAGTCCATTGCATCTTACCAATAAAGGTGGAGGAAATTAAACAGACAGCAGCTGGTGACCCAACAGCATGCAGTGTTATGGATGTAGAGTGTGAAGAGGTTCAGATTGCAAGTGCTGACACTGATACGTGCATAGGGTTTAGTGTTCGTCCCCACGAGATTCAGTACAAGTCAGTGTGATTTGAACAATCTTAAACAACAAACTGTAGGGAACAGTAAGAGGGTGATTTCACAGTTAAAAAATTTTAAAATCTGAATACAACTGTACAATAGCAACAACAGCAACAATCAATTTCTAGAGAATGCCTAATTTTTCCGACTGAACAACACCTGAGAATGAAGCGTACCAAAATGATGTATTACGGGTTCAGTGCTGACATTGCGAGGGAACATGAATAAATGCAAAGGAATTCACCTAAATAAAGTATAAAGCAAATCACTCATAGTGTCTTTACTCTCACTCTCGATGAAGATTAGACTCCATATCTAATCATAGCTAATTTTATATCAAGGCACCTCTGTCGGTCATCGCCTGGACCTTGGAAAACAATAAAGGTTTTTCACCAATTCCACTATGCAGCTGAAAATACTGATAAGCCAGAATAGGTTGACACTTCCAAAGTTCAGCATTAAAACGGATCCCAGTTCTCTTGCTGTCTCTTGGGAACTGTGGATCAGGTAGATAACGATTTATCATACGAGCTGATCTTCATTGTGGGATCCAGGTGAATCCTCCACTAGCAATGAACCACACTCAGACATACATGTCCACCTTCTTTGATTTCTTGGTTACAACTGCTTGTAGCTCAATCTCCTAACAACAATATGTAACAACTTCTGACATCTCATTTGCGCTCTTCAATATTGGTGTACTTGAGTGTGTGCCTTGCACGCGACAATGAGACTATGATGATGATAACATAGTGACTGTAATAATGATATATTTGATAGCTTAGGCTGTCAGAAATATGTAGTAATTATAATTATTAAAAATTTGCTGACTTTAATTGTTATAAAATTTGATTCTTAGAAATGTGGTACCTCAAACTGTTAATAATATGTTTGCTTTAACTATTTGAAACTTTATAACTTTACCTATTAGAAATGTGCTTGTTTTAATTATTATATTTTAATAATTATTTAAAGCTTTAGAAGCATTTATATAATTGATTAGTTGCAATAACTTTCATTTAAAGAAATATGGTGGCTTGTAAATAATTTAACATATTTTACAGTTTTCTAAAGCAACTGTCATTTTTAAGATTAAAACCATTATATAGTGTTATCCCATGCAACAGCTGTTGCTAGTGAGCTACCCTTCTGGTTCAACCCTTAATGAGTATCAGGAAATGTTATGGGAATTTCCGTGTGATATCATCTCATCACTCAGTAAGTGCCAGCTGGTCTACAAATATAGGGCTAGCATTATTTACTCATGACACCTCATGGTGTAAAACATTATTCTTTTATTAACTATAGTGTTTTAAAATTTGCAGAATTTGATTTAATAATGATAAATGAAATCCCATCAGCACAAGAGAATTGTAATTTTCGAGTCATATTATGTGAAGAGTGAGTCTGAGGAACACTGACAATCACTAAGAGGAGGAGACAGAAGCCAGCAAAGGAAACAAATGTAGATGGATTGACCTGGTGACATAGTAGAAGGTCAGTTAATTATATTTAATATGGACACAGGTAAGTGATTATTGTTGAGAAATATAGCCATCTGTGTCACTTAGCATGACAAATGATGATGATGTTATGGATTCTTGGGAAAGCATTCAAGAAATCAGAATAGTAAATGACCTTTTTAAATGCTTGTTTATTGACAGATGATTGTCCACCAGGACAAGAAATAGGTAGCAACAATAACTGTACCGCCTGCCGCATTGGATATTATAGGGAACCTAACGATGATGTCTGCCAGAGGTGCCCTAATGGAACAGTGACCCAGAACACGTCACAGATTTCTGTCTCAGCTTGCAATGTTGGTAAGAGGGAACACTGTGCATAAATGTATGCTACTTTTGATTGTGAAGTGATTATATTATTTATAATCTTAAATTGGTCACTAACAGTGTTAGCCTTGCTGATTTGAGCACTTTATTATTGGTGTAATATGTATTGTGCACCAAATCTAATTTAAGAAATGCATGGTCATATTATTTTTTTTTTCTATTCAAAAATAATATGAAAGGGTATTTAAATGACATCATTAATGTGTCAATTCATTTTAGGAGTGAAAACATAAAAAATTGTGTCAAAGAAGACCTCATATCTATGACATATTGAACAAAAATTGTCACAATTGGGCTCTAGCCTAAATGCATTTTGTGTGTTATGTATTTAAATCACAGACATGGACAAATAGGAATAGAATGAAACTGGAGGCTACATAGTTGTGATTTCATCACAGAATGGAAATAATTCCTTGGTCAGCTGGAAAAAAACAACCAACCAAAAAGCCTGCAACAGATCAGTTTGCAAAGTCATTTGATTGCTCACATCAGAACAAGACAATCTTACTTTTCTGTAAATAAAACAAGGTGTGGAGCGAGTTGTGGTAATTAAAACAGAGTGAGCAAATGCTGAAGGGGTGGACAAAATAACCTGCCTGAACACTCCAGATCATACTCATTGAATCACTGAGAATACAAGCACCCTTACAAATGTTGTGCTCGATAAGCTCATCTACTGACAGTTTTCTAACTGTCAGTATAGTAAATAGTTTTCTAACTGTCAGTATAGTAAATAGTTTTCTAACTGTCAGTATAGTAAATAGTTTTCTAACTGTCAGTAGATGAGCTTATCGAGCACAACATTTGTAAGGGTGCTTGTATTCTCAGTGATTCAATGAGTATGATCTGGAGTGTTCAGGCAGGTTAAGTGGGAAGTCAGTAACTTGAATCATTAGAGAAGTCTACTGTGTGTGGAGTCACCTTTATTTTCATGCCGGGAGACGCAGGCGTCAACAGAAATGAAGAGCTGATAGATTGGTTGAATCCGCTGTCATTACCGACAGCCACCCAATGGATCATGCTGATATTATTAATGCCCTTTGAGAAGTGGGAAGGGTGGAAGACTTTGGGGGCAGTGAATCCACATCACTCACAAGTATGATAGACTTGAGAGTTAAGATCGACAAAGCAAAATACAAGACACACACCAGGCACATCAGAGGACTTGTTAATCAACATAGCACTGGCACTATTAGCCAATGGACCCTGGAATTCGTACTGAGGGGATGATCTAAATGCTTTTGAACATGTCCGGAGTGCAATGATGATCACCCTACTTAACTAACTAACTAATTTTTAGGGAATTCTGATTACCTGCAACATCAACATGGCACATAACAATGATGAAAGGAAAGACAAGGCAGACCAATATTCTAACTGATACTGGCACTATTGTAATTGAAACTTTTTGCTGGTTCCTGAAGATGAGGATGGAATGGTTATGGGAAGGTCTTTAGTGCTGTGAGGTCACTTCTTAACTCGACAACTCAGCTGATGATGATGCTACATTTAGAATGGTATTGTGTCATTGTCAATTTGCTAGTTTCTTACTCATTTAATGTAGGAAATACTCATAGAAACATCCTGAACAAACAATATGAAATGATATATTTTCCTCACCTGTACTGTAGTAATTATTTCTTGTTAATTATTTGCAGCCGACAATCCACCAGGAACAAAACGTCAGCAAGCTAATCTAACTATGTATGAGCCATGTCCTATTGGGACATACCAGAGAGAGCCTTGGCAGTCTTTCTGTAACTCATGCGCTCCGTCTTATTTAACTGAGCGTACAGGATCCACAAATGTCTCTGATTGTAAATGTAAGATTGTTTTTGCTTTACCTTATTAATTTTTATGTAGGGATTTAATTAAGGTTATTTTGCATGTACTTTAAACCCTACTGGTCTTAATCTTTTCACTGATTCATTACACATAATACATATCCTGATTTAATTTTTTCTAGGGTTAAAAAAGACATTACCAAACAAGATGATGGTATGAAAATTATTTGACCGTATTTGCCTTGCTGGTGGGAAAAGTTGAGGGAAAGTATACAGAAGAAAGAAAGCCTAATATGTGGATGGACAGTATTAAAAGATGGACTTATGGCCTATGATAATGAGGCATGAAGATGCAAGGTGTAGAGCGTTAAGACATATTACAAAGCAACTGTCACTGTGAAGGTGGCAGTTGGTAAGGATAGTTTTCAGAATTAGAACAAACTCTCTCTCTCTACCAGCAGGTGACATCTACACTAACTTCAGAGCTGAGGCAACTGACCTCCTTTCTGCAGTCCAACATCTCATCACTCAAGAACACAGAGGGCACAAAATTGTTATACTTAGTGACTCATTGTCTGTTTTCCAAGCACTATCAAGCAAAAAACAAGACAAACTAATTGCAGATCTAAGGACCAACATTGGCTTACTCTCTAAGGAAGCAGAACTGGTCTTGCAGTGGATACCAGCCCACTGTGGTATTCAAGGAAATGAGAGAGCAGATGAGTTGGCAAAAGCTGGGAGTAATCTTTCACAACCTCATCCACCACACAGCTACAAGGAAACCAAAACAGCACTAAAGCAGTCTTTCAAGCGGGAGTGGAGAAAGCAGAATAGAGATTACAGACCAAAGAGTGACAGCATAAACAAACTCAACAAGAAAGAACAAACATCAGTTTTTAGACTTCGGACTGGACACTGTGGTCTTTGAGCACACCTGTACAGGATAGGCATAAAAGAATCTGCTGCCTGTGACTGTGGAGCAGAAAGACAGACCCCTGAGCACATACTGCAGTACTGACCTTACCTCTCCCAGCAAAGACTGTGGATCTGGCCCAGGGGATCCACATTGCGAGAGAAGCTATGGGGGACTGGTGGCGACCTTAAACGCACAATCCTATTTTTGACCCAGACGGGACTCAATGTGTAGCATGACTGATGTCGAATGCAGAAGAAGAAGAATTAGGACATTAAGACCGCCACCACCAACAAGCATAAAAAATACATAAACAATATTGATTCAATACTCACGAATCATCCTGCTTTCAGTGCTTCCCCCTCCAGTACTTCTTCTTGCACACAGTCGCCTTCAGCGCCTGAGATATAATCACAACACATTCCCAAAACAACACTCATTGATAGTAAACAGAGTTGCCTAGGTCGGGCAGAAGATGTTATTAGGCAAATATGCAGCCTAACCGACATCATACCTGGTGCAGAATGGATACCTGTGCCTCAGGCGTTTATTTGTACATTTTCCTGTATTGTCACACTCAACAGGCGATGTAGAGAAGATAATCCTGTTGCTGTTAATGCAGAGGTCAACGCTCTCATCGGTGAAAATTCAGACGAAGCAGATGCACTAATCTATACAGACGGATCAGTTATACTCCAAAGAAGAAGCGCATGGGCATTTACAGCACGCTCAGCGGGCAGAACAGTCAAAGAAGCCAACGGCGCCTTCTCCATGACAACCAGCAGCATGACGATGGAGGTGATGGCAGTGACGCAAGCGTTTGCCTGGCTTGAAACACAAAAATACACCCGCATATGTATACTCAGTGATTCAATGAGTATGATCCGGAGGGTTCAGGCAGGTTCAGTACGAAGACAATGGCTTGAATCAATTCAGAAGTCCACTGTGCGAGTAGTCACCTTTATTTTTGTTCCGGGACACGCAGGCGTCGATGGAAATGAAAGAGCTGACAGGTTGGCTGGATCCGCTATCACTACCGACGGTCGGCCTATGGATCATGCTGATATTATCAATGCCCTCAGAGAAATGGGAAGGATAGAGGACTTTGGTGGCAGTGAATCCACATCACTCGCCAGAATGGCAGACTTGGGAATTAAGATCGGCACAGCAAAAAACGAGACGCACACCGGACACGTCAGAAGACTTGTTAATCAACATAGAACTGGTACTATTAGCCATCGGACGTTGGGATTCATACTGAGGGGAGGATCTGAGCACCTATGGACATGTCCGGAGTGCAATGATGATAACCCAACTAACTAACTAACTAACAAACAGAGTTGCGAAAAGAAAGTTGCAATTTCATCTTGGAAACAGTGTGTCTACCTCGTTGAATGCACTTGAGTCACTTTTCATGCTCTGTGTAGAAAACAAAGTAAGACATCTCATAAGACCCCTACAGCATAGGACAGCCCAAGGGAACTGCTACGAAATCATGCAGTCGAACAAGCTGGGGTGACACCGTGAGTTGTACCTTAACTTTTCGACAGTAATATTTTGCAAGCCCCAAGGTTAATACTATTGACTGTTTTCACACCTGTGCAAAAATGTAGCACCATTTATAGGTGTTTTCTTATGAACCAGATAACTGTTTTTAAAGACAAGTTTCACATAAGCCTCAGTGATAGATGTCACAGCATAAGTCCACCTACATATTGTTCTTGAGGCCTTTGTGAATTTTCTCCATTGAATGCCTCGTTAAGTTCATGTTTATTCATTGCTGCCTTAATATATCTCTATACATTTTTAAACAAAAAGAATTTTTTTTTAAATATAGAGTATTAATTTTTTTAAATATATTAGTAATGTGACACAGTTGTATTTCCATGCATCTCAAGTATAAGCATGCCTAGATGGAACAAGTGATTCAGATAGTCTTAGTAGTATATCTCTTGCACTATAAAGCACAATGTCTTTTGAGTATGTCGACAATTATTCATAAAATGCTTGGACATTGCTTCATTATGAGCAGGTTATTAACTCTCCTCGACTGTTTCTCACATCTTTCTTAACGTCCTGTAGAAATATTTCTTATAGCATAGCTTAACCAAGTTTACTACCAGCCATATAGTCAACTCTCTGTTCACAAGTGCAAGTTCTGGTCGACCGCCCAGCTTCATGGTCCTCGCCTAAGTGTCCATCTCTTTTTCTCCTTCTTCCCCCTTTTTTGGTATCTCTTTTCTTCACGTGTGATTTCTCACCCTGCTCTCATCACTCCCTGCACCTGTTCATCTCTTATCCTCCCAAGGTGGACTTCTGGCATCCCTTGATGCTATCGTCAGTCCTTGGCCTGTCTGGATACTAGCATCCATCGTCTTATCTCCTTGACACCCGCATCTTTCCCTATTGTGTACTCGCTGATCTCAGTCTCTGGTCGTCTTCTTAGCATGGGTGATCTATCATGTCTGCCCCCTTCGTGCCTCAGATATCTTTTACATTCAGTCTGTCCACCTGTTTATCTCCGTCTCTCTAGCATATCTCAGTGTGGCCTTGTCTTACCAGCGTTCTAACCACTATTTTCAATCATGCCGCCCAGTAATGGATTGGCGTGCATTGATGCTTGTCTGGATGTATACATTTTTCATTTAACTCTTTGTATTAACTCCTTTTCCTACAGTAACCTGTGTAAAATTGTTGCTTTTTTTTAGCAGGTTTTTGTCAAAAATTCCCACAGGTTATGACATTTTTTTAAAGCATTCTTGGGACAACAAGGTTACAAATAATAAAGTTAGTTGTGTATTCTTTACAGGATGTTGCAGATGGTAAATTGTTGCTGTGATTGTTATTCGACATTTGCTTTGCTAATATAAATTTCTGTAACCTATGGTGCCATTTCAATGGGTTAAAATGAAGTCTGTCCGTATTCCATAGTCGTGGATTTCAAGCTGTACGATAGACATGGCCAATGAGACACCTTTTTTTTGGGGGTGCCTAGTTGACCATGTATCTTAGTGCACTTGTATTCATGGCGAGGCGCAGACGCCGTCTGGAGGTGACAGGTTCAATTCCCCGCACGGGAACTATAGCTTTCGATTTTTATGTTGTCTAGTGTGTTCTTCTACTTTCTACTTCTTTCTATGAGTGCCGTTCACAATACTTTCTGTTACTTGATTAATTCATAATATTTAACGGCCTCTAAGGGTTCCCCCTCTGTTTATTTATAGAACTAACCCCTGCAGTTCTTTTGGCTGTTTGGCTGTACTAGACACTTTATGTTCATTATTTTGCCATTGCTTTGTGAATGGTCAACTCTCAGTATCACTATCTTCTTCTTATTCACTTCCTCTTTTACCGCTGTGGGTGTATCACTATCAAAATCAATAAAAGCTACTTTTGCCAAATCGCCTTGCAGCTTGAATAAGACTGGGTATTTCAGAATTACAAAGCACATTAACAACACCCATGCCACAGGTGCGATTTCTTTACAGTTTAATAATTTTTTAAAGCATTTGTGAACTGACTGGTGATGCTATATATTTAGTTGAAGTTTTTTTAGCTGGTAAAGTCTGGTTTTCATGCAGTAACTCGCTGCAGTGTGTTGATCAGTTTAGTTAGATAATGGACACTGTGAGGTTAGATTTATCTGTCAACAATTTTTCTTTTTTGTTTTATTTTTATAGCATTCTGTCTGAACTGACTTATTCTTGTCGTATTGATGAATAAATTCGAAATGTCTACTGGAAATATAGATGGCTACTTAGTAAATTGTTGTAGAAAGAAATACTGCAATTTTGTCCATTAATATGCATCTTTAAAAGAAATAGCTAAGAATGAGGAAACCAGTTTTAATCTTGTGTAAGTGGTCATAACTTCTAATGTAACATGTTGCTGGAGTTCTCAGTTTTAAAGGTTATAAGTGGTCATAACTTCTAATGAAACATGTTGCTGGAGTTCTCAGTTTTAAAGGTTATAAGTGGTCATAACTTCTAATGAAACATTTTGCTGGAGTTCTCAGTTTTAAAGGTTATAACTGGTCATAACTTCTAATGTAACATGTTGCTGGAGTTCTCAGTTTTAAAGGTTATTGTGATCTCCTCAGTCTCCTGTCCTGCTGGTCAAGAGAAGAAACCAAACGAGGACAGCTGCATACAATGTGTAATAGGCTATTTCCGTGATGGCATGACTCCGTTTAGCCAATGTGAAGCTTGTCCAGGCCAGTTTACAACACTGACAGTTGGCTCAGTATCAGTACAAAACTGTACCTTATGTAAGAAATATGTTTACTATGCAACATCAGTTGTTTTTAAAACTGTTTTGATGATTTGTTAAAATGTAAATTTTTCTGTAAGAAATATCTGTGCATGTTTGTGTGTATATGTGTGTGCATGCACGCATGTGCCATGTGCCTGCATGTACATGTGCCTGTCTGCTTGCCTGTGTGTCTGTCTATCTGTCTGTCTGTCCTCACCTAAACTCTTTCAGGACCACATTTTTAGGGGGGTTTGGACAGCATTAACTTTCAGCGGAATTTTTTAACTGCAACATGACAAAGCTAAAACCCTTCTGAAGAAAAAGTATTCTTTCTTGCTACTTGATGGCTTTGGTGAAGATTTTGTAGACCGTCTTTGTATAGTTAACCTTGAGGTTCCACCTTTGGCAGTACTCATGCAGTTTTCTAAGGTCTCCATTAAGTCTTTGGGCTCTACTATCTACATTTTCATGACTCTGCCATATTGCTAGATCATCAACATACAAGGCTTTTTCATCCTTGATTTGTTCTGGCAAGTCATTGATAAAGATTAGAAACAGTGTACAACTCAATAGTGAGCCTTGTGGCAAGCCCTCCTCCAAGACTTCTTTAGATGAGATTGCGTTGTGTATCTTAGTCTGGATTGTTCTATCTATCAGAAAGTATTTCACTCAAGTTAAACAATCTGCCATGTATTCCTATACTCATCATCTTCATCAGGAGAATCTTAACTATTTAAATGTCAGTATTACAACAAAATATTATTAAAATCACACAACATTCAAGGATATAATACATATATGAAGATTACTGACCTAAACATTTTTGTGCTTTTTGGAATGCTTGCCATATCAAAAAGTCAGCTGATAAAACTTGAATGCATACAGATTGAAGCCATACCGGTAATTCTGTACAAGAGATACCCTGATAGTATGTATGCGATATATGCTTGAACTGCCTACTATTGAAGTGCATGGTGGTTCATAGCGAAGGCGAATGGACGTCGCTTAGTGCAACAAGGCCTGGCATATATCACAACATCTAGTTTGAGAATGGAGGTGAAGGCAGTCACTGCTGCATTCTGCTGGCTTGAGAATAAGCTGTACACACATGTGTTGATTGTAACTGACTCACAATACATGTTGAGAAAGGTGAAGACAGATATGCTCAGTGCAGAGTGGCAAGCATCACTTCAGAGGTTCCGGATAGTTAGCATCCTTTGGATAATCTCTTTAAGTCATACCAGTGTGTTGGGAAATGAGCAGGCAGATAGACTGGCCGGTTCTCCACCACTTGGTGGTGAACTGATGTATGACAAGCTAATTGTTGTTAGGGTTCTCTGGTAGCGAGCGAGTGAACAGTGTGACAGCGCAAATAGATCATTACGTTCTGAGGAGAATAGAGCTGCAAGCAGTTAGCAGGGAATCTGGCCATTGCTAAACACTCAAGGGAAAGGCAAGACGGGCCAGATTACTTTTGCTGGGAAATAAAACACTCTAATTCAACATTCAATTCTATATTGATTGCTTCGGATTTTAAAATAGATTAAACAATCAGTAAATTATTTGTCCGTTACATCAGAATCTGGACATGTTTTTCGTTTGCTGCTGACGATAATCCTTCTTGTTAAATAAGCGCTTATAAAATTAAACGGTGTCTCGAGAGCTATGATGTTGATTCCTAATTCAACATTCAATTCTATATTGCTTCATTGCTTCTAGATTTTAAATATGTTTTAAAATGGACTTACCAAGATTGCCAGTGTCCGTTTAATTTACTAAATTGAAATTTTGCATATGTGTGGGTGCATGCCTGTGGTTAAAAAAAAAATATTTTGTCAGAGAAATACAAACACCTAATATGCTGCATTTATTTGTTTCTTATTAACATAAATAAGACTGTAGCAGCTAAACTTCATTATCTTCAAGAAATTTCAGTTCCTGCTGTGAGTTTTCATTGTGTATTGTCTGGAACATTTTCTTCTATGCATTCAGATACTGCTGATTTCACAGATGATAAGACATCTTCAGACCTTCTGCATTGTGGCTGCCTGACATAAAGTTCTCTTTACTGAGATAAAAAGTGAACTTCAGTTTTATTTACTTCAGTCAAGAATTGATATCACAGCACTTGGGGCATTTCCATGCATGTTCTGTCCTCATCTTCAGCAGCCGGCGCAGAGTTCCAATACCGATGGTACCAGTCATAATCTGGTTTTATGTCCGTCTTGCCTTTCCTCTGAGTGTAGTGAGCCAGTCAGACCCTTTGGTTATACCCAGGTGCCTTATTCACTCCAGGCCATAATAATGATCTTTCTCTACTGATTCCGTTGCTTGTTTCCAAAGGGTCAGTTTTGTTTTGTCACATCAGCTGATGATCAGACGAGATTAGTTGGCACTTTTACTGAAAAGGTTAGCAGCAAGCCCTCCTGCATTCTTTGCCTGGGCCATGTTGATACCATTTAACATTCTCTTTACAGTTCACCTGATGATGTTATTTTTCATTGTAATTTTTTTTTCCTTTAATATTTGTCTGTCAACATTTTTCTAAAGCATGCTCTTCATTAAAGAACTATATTTGTGTTTCTGCATGGTAATAATTGCTGGAAAGTTTCTCAAACGATGATGATCTTTTGGTGTCTGAATGAATAACCATAGTGGCAATATCAGTAGAAGTAGAAGTCAGTGGCTCGTTTGCTGTCAATGTGGAATCAGTATCAGTAACTTGTGTACACACAGCAGCTGCTTTGGTATATCTATTGCCATGAAATTTCCTTTTCTTATGATAGCCTGCACGTTTTTTCTTATTCATACTTATTGGTTTACGTTATTTAAACACAAATACTAACTTAATAAAATGGAATGGAAACAATCAGCCTTAAAAAAACGAGGAAACTCGATTCAGCATGTCTGGTGTCACGCAGAATCAGCCATTGTTTGTTTACAAAATTTATGTAAGGCCTTCTCCGATTGGTTGAAACTAGACAGAGGCTATTGTAGCCTCTTCAAAATTGGCCAATGAAAATGTATCTTTCATGTAAGTTTTAACATGGATTAGATTATCACAGTTCTACAATTTCTAACAAATGGGTGAAAAAAATTTTTTTTTTTTTTTAATCGATCACCGGCTGTGAATTCCAGTGGAAGGTCCCGGTTAATCGTCCGCTTGCACTTTTGGCTTTTCATTTCCCTGCCTCATGGGCAGCTGTACTCCGACTTGGAAGGAGAAAAGATTATTAAAATAGGTTGATAAATAACTGAGTTATGACAGCTTGAAAATTGTGCATACATAATTAGGTAAATAAACGGTTACCATGACAATTAAAAAAAATATTTTAAATTACTTACAGATGGAATTTTACAACAGTAAATGTATTATTATGTGCAGAAATGAATAAACTTCCATGTAGTGTTAAAAAGTAAAATTTCAAAATTTTGAAGAAAAAAGTCAGTTTTGGGGGGTTTTACCTATCCTTAAGTATTCTGTGTTATTTTTGTTAATCTCACTAAGTAATTCTATTTTTTTTTTTATTCTTAGCTTGTTCATAACTTCCTTATTTATTATGTTATCCTTTAAATTTTCAAAGAATTTCAATTGTAATGGCGCTAATTGTTTTCTTAAAATGGAACTGTGTGCCAGGAGTGTGCCATTGGATATTTCAAAGATAACAATGAAGATGTGTTTGGTAACTGCACACGCTGTAGAAATGCAAGTTATGTTACTTCTACAGTGGGATCTATCTCTAATGCCAACTGCACAGTTTGTAAGTATATTTGTTTTTTTAATCGTTCTATTTACAATAAAATGGGAAACAAATAGGTTGATGAAGCGACTACATCAAAACCATAAGACAGATCTTAATGAGAGATGTTCAAGGAACTGGACTGAATTCCATCCATGATAGCGAAACATTTGCACATGATAAAACTGACTGGAAGAACATACTACAGCTGTAAGTGACATATATCAGCACAGCAGGATGATGATGATAATTACAATTATTTCTGACAATCTGCTTTTTTCAACACTAAAATTCCAACAGGGTTGTGTTGTTTAAGCTACCGTGGAGGGCAAACAGGCCATGGACCAGACTGATATTCTGAATGCTCTACGAGAAATAAGACATTTGTGAGAACCATGTGTAGACTAAATCTGCAACAATGACCAGACAGCAAAAAAAAAAAAACATGTTAAAAGGGGTGTGGCCAGACAAGAGCACTCTGCAAGAAGCCAAAGAATGATAAGAAAGAAACACAGAATTGGAGTTATTAGCACTAGATCCTGAGAGATTTACTGAGGAGGGGATCCGACACATATGGAGACTGAATGGTTCACTGTTCAGTGAGGATAATCTGCCGACAAAATATGGCTATTTTTTTTTTTTTTTTTTTTTAATCGATCACCGGCTGTGAATTCCAGTGGAAGGTCCAGGTTAATCGTCCGCTTGGACTTTTGGCTTTCACCTGGACCTGATTTTTGCGTGTACAACCGTTTTTCATTTCCCTGCCTCATGGGCAGCTGTACTCCGACTTCGAAGGAAGACGTCAGGCCTATTTCTAGGGTAACTGTGGCCATTGTTTTGTGTGGGTCGAGACGTTGCCTGATTTGTGTGGTGTCCACTTTGTCTTGTTCGCCGCAGGTATTGCCCCCGGAGTACCCCTTTGGGGCAGCCTCCTGTGGAACAGTTAGCCCTCAAGGGAAGGCAGGGGCAGATCATGGGCATTCCCCGCCATCCAAGGAGGCTTCCATGCATGCAGAGCCGGCACATGGCGCTCTGGTTCTGGGCTCACCCAAGGAATCGTCACGTCCTGCACATGCCTGCTTAACCTCACAACTGTATCAGGCCTCCCGCTCGACAGGGGCTGCGCCCTCTGGAAGTCAGCGGGGAGCAGCCCGTGGGTTTTGGACTTTTGTGACCACACAGATAGGTACATTCTTTTTTCTTCGCACGTTAGATTTCTTTGACGAGCCGCTAGCCCGACAGAATTTTACATCCTGCATCAGGCTTATCATTATCAGTTTTGTCCCTACACTCGGGCGAGTGGGGTCTTTGGGTGTGGACATTCGGTCTTTTTCAGTTCAATACAAATTTTGATGGTCAGATTTTGATCCGTATGATCTAGTTTTGTCGGACATTTAGGCTTAGCCATCCGATGGATGGTTGCTGTTGTGGTGTACCCCAGCGCGGTGACGACGACACTGAGGGTTAACCGAGGATGTACAAGGATGGTCAGCCTATGGATGGTTGCTGTTGTGGTGTACCTCAGCGCGGTGACGACGACACTGAGGGTTAACCGAGGATGTACAAGGATGGTCAGCCTATGGATGGTTGCTGTTGTGTACCCCAGCGCGGTGACGACGACACTGAGGGTTAACCGAGGATGTACAAGGATGGTCAGCCTATGGATGGTTGCTGTTGTGGTGTACCTCAGCGCGGTGACGACGACACTGAGGGTTAACCGAGGATGTACAAGGATGGTCAGCCTATGGATGGTTGCTGTTGTGTACCCCAGCGCGGTGACGACGACACTGAGGGTTAACCGAGGATGTACAAGGATGGTCAGCCTATGGATGGTTGCTGTTGTGGTGTACCTCAGCGCGGTGACGACGACACTGGGGGTTAACCGAGGATGTACAAGGATGGCCAGCCTATGGATGGTTGCTGTTGTGGTGTACCTCAGCGCGGTGACGACGACACTGGGGGTTAACCGAGGATGTACAAGGATGGCCAGCCTATGGATGGTTGCTGTTGTGGTATACCTCAGCGCGGTGACGACGACACTGGGGGTTAACCGAGGATGTACAAGGATGGCCAGCCTATGGATGGTTGCTGTTGTGGTGTACCTCAGCGCGGTGACAACGACACTGGGGGTTAACCTAGGATGTACAAGGATGGTCATCCTATGGATGGTTGCTGTTGTGGTGTACCTCAGCGCGGTGACGACGACACTGGGGGTTAACCGAGGATGTACAAGGATGGCCAGCCTATGGATGGTTGCTGTTTATTATGCATATATAATGATGATATGAAAATACATAGGACACATGATTTGTAATTTTTTTTTCAAGCTAGGGTTCCCAGCTATAAACAGCCTGACAGAATACTAGAGGTTTTTGTGAAAGAACAGCAAAATGATATACTATGGCTATAATATTTATACTAATATAAGTTTAAGAGCCTCTGACAGTCTAGTCTAACTTCTGGCCTCCAGATTTGCATCTTTTTAAACTGAGCAGGAGTTATTTAATAAAAGAAGAAGGGAATAAAGGCCACTGATGCCATCAAAATTTCAATTGCTTTGGGTAGATAGGGCCTGTCGGCTATGTGGCTAAGTCGATGCGAACGCTTTGTAATGCCGGGTTCGATCCCAGCTGCGAGCCATGTGCCTTGCATTGGTTTTGACAGTGGTATCAGGGAACCGACCATCCAGCAAGCAATGGCAAACTACTAGATGTAAATTTGCCTAGAGAAACCACACAACAGCCATGGGCTGCTGGGGTTGGTTCTGCAGTATCCTGTAAAGGATATGCAACTAACAAGAAGATAGGACCTGCTAATCCAGCCTTTGCTTGTAGTCCATCTAGGAGACAGTAAACTGATCTCACACCTGTCTTATAGGATTTCTTTCCATGGAGGATAAAGGCTGCTAGTGTTGGGGCTTGTGGTAAGTGAAATCCTTTATCTCCATGTGGGGCAGACACCAATCTTGCTAAAAAAGAAAGGATTGACTGGCCACAGTTGTCTCAGTGATGAAACCTGCAGAAGATTTTAAGTTTGCATAATATGAGACTGCCAGGAAGTTACCAGAGTTTTCTGTAATGATGGGAGACAGGTGGGTTGTACCAATAGTGACATCCTCTGCCTAGCAACAGTTAAACATGTAACAAGTGCTGAAAATATTTCATCTGATCACAAATGATATTCACCACCTGCCTGCCATGACTTCACATGAACCTGATTGGGAACTGACTACGTAGTTTGCCCCTTCCTATATGTCCCACAGGCTAGTGGAGGGAAGAATTCACCTTACATCTTCTGTTGATAGATTTTACCCTACTGCCCACATGAAATCATCATCATCAACTTGTAGCAGGTCATTTACAGATCATCACTCCCTCACAATCTGTATGAACAAAACTGTTCCTGACCAGCTATCTTGTCTCACACAATTTCCTATCCAGTGTGTCTCTTTTGTGCTGTGTCCAACTTAATTCTGGTTGGGTTTCTCCTACCTGGTACCATGACTTATGTTACTGTTCTTTTCAAGTACTGTGACATTTGATGTTGCCCAAAGTATTTCAGTTTCTGAAACAAAATGCTGTTTACAAGCCAGTCTACTCACCTGAGATCTACTACAAATATATATATATATATTTTTTTTTTTTTAAAGTAAATTGTGAGGAGGGATATAAGGCAAACCTGACAACACAAACATGTGTCCCGTGTCCAAGAGGAACATACCAGGACAAGAAGTACCAGACAGATTGTCTTGCTTGTCCTACAGACCAGTACACCAGACAAACTAACTCTACAAGACCAGGAGATTGTGAGAGTAAGTAATGACATATAAACTATACAATTGTTTGTTATGTGGAATTATATCTTTATGTTTCATTATACAGTATGTCCTATGGTGACAGTAAATTGCTATGAAATATTTTAATAAAACACCAACACAGACTTATAGTTAAACACAGATAAAGCAGAGCTTTTATGACAGACTACAGCATGTCTCTTTTTTTTCTCTGATTGAGTTATTTGTTCAAAAACTCATGACCAAAGTTTAAAGGTTTTAAAGTCGAAATGATTGACTTAATTGCATTAGGTATTATCTGATATGGCTCGGTTGTTCTCGGCAGAATGATTAGCCACCTGTCAAGAGCATTGCTAAAGCATTTATTGCTCCATCAATGATCCCCACACTCCCCCCAGAGGCCATTACCTTGTAGTGGTGGGGGAGCTTGAGAGCCTCAATGATTTAATAAGCTATGCCGGCGGGAACGTATCTTCCTGGCAGGGTCACCCAAGCCGGACAGGTCATTGGTGAGGGGCCAGACTAAAGATGGCCTTCCGGTCCTCCAGGCTCGGGGGTTGGGCGCACTGTTGACAGATCTGCCCTGTAAAAAATCTACAACGTTACTGAAACTTCAAGAGGAAATAAGTGCTCTAAACGTCCGGTGGTCTTGGGACAGAGTTCCTCTGTCAGCATGAACAACATGGGTGAAAGCCGAAAGGAAGCCAATGATGGGAAAACAAGTCTGCTGGATGTCAAAACCAAATTAAGAATTGGCTTCTGGAATGTAAGAACCATGTTTGAAACGGCCAAAACCGCATAAGTAATTAAAGAAATGCAGAACTATGAACTGCATATTCTTGGAATTAGTGAAAGCAGGTGGACAGGGTTAGGAAAATCCACAACAAGTACAGGAGAAACCATAATATACTCTGGAAGAGATGATAACCTACATTCAGCAGGCGTAGCACTTATTTTAAAGAAAGGTATACACAAACATCTCATCGAGTGGCATCCAATCAACGAAAGAATAATGGCAAACATGCCAAACTTACAGTCACCCAATGCTACGCACTAACTAATGAAGCTGAAGATGAAGATAAAGAAACATTCTATAGGAGACTGCAAGAGGTAGTAGATAAAGTACCAGCCCATGATATTCTATGCATTATGGGAGATCTCAAAGCAAAAGTTGGTAACAACAACTTGAATAGAGAACTATCAATGGGAAATCAAGGATGTGGTACAATTAATGACAACGGGGAAAGACTGAGCAACTTCTGCACGGCGAATAGACTTGTTATAGGAGGAACAATATTTCCTCACAAGAATATACACAAGCTTACATGGATATTCCCAAACAGAAGAGATGTAAACCAGATCGACCATTTCATGGTAAACAGAAAATGGCGTGGGTCCCTACTCGATGTGCGTGTCAAAAGGGGACCAGATGTGGGAAGCGATCATCACCTTGTAGTCGTTCTACTACGACTTAAACTCAAAAAAAATTACACGCAAGTTAAGACACAGACAGCACGTTACACTGTCAACCTTTTAAGAGAAAAAGACATTGCCACCAAATTTATAGTAGAACTTAAAAATAGATTTCAAACCCTATCAAGTGACCCAGAAACTCCAACTACAATCAGCATTCAAGACAGATGGAACCAGATCAAAGAAACATACAAATCAACTAGCAATAACATATTAGAAACCGGGAACACCACCACAAAGAATGGATAAGTACTCAAACCATGGACTATATTGCCAAGCGAAAAAGAATAAAGAGCCTCATAAATCACACTAAATCAGAACGTCAGAAAGACAAACTAATGTTAGAATATAGTGAACTAAATAAAATGACAAAGAAAAGTGCCAGAGCTGACAAGAGAAGATTTATGGAGAATCTTGCAGAAACAGCAGAAAATGCTGCCAAAGTACATGATTTACAAACCCTTCACAAAATTACCCAGCAAACTTGCGGAAACAGAAACAATTATCACAGCATACCCATCAGAGATAACCAAGGCAGACTGCTCACCACAGAACAAAAACAAGACATGCAGTGGACTAAACACTTTTTCCGACCTCTTGAACAGACCTGATCCCGAAAATCTCCCAGATATTCAACCAGCCTCTCAGGACATTGACATTATTACTGAACCACCAAGCAAACAAGAAATCCTTAAAGCTATCAACACTTTAAAGAACAACAAAGCACCAGGCAAAGACGAACTGTCAGCATAACTTTTGAAAGTAGATCCCAACACAACTGCTAGCATTCTAGAACCATTGTTCAAGGATATTTGGGAAAAAGAAGTGTTGCCTGATGACTGGACTGAAGGAACAATAGTCAAAATCCCCCAAAAAAAGGAGATTTAACAGACTGCAGTAATAGGAGGGGAATTACTCTACTCTCAGTACCAAGCAAAATATTTTGTAAAATCATCATAATGCGGCTTGAAAAAGGAGTAGATAAATGCCTACGAGTGGAACAAGCAGGATTCAGAAAGGGCAGAGGAACAACTAAGCACATCTTCGCCATACGTAACATTTTAGAACAATGCAACGAATGGCAGAGAAGTATATATATTAATTTTGTGGACTTTGAGAAAGCTTTTGACAGCGTCCATAGAGACGGTCTGTGGAAAATCTTACGACATTATGGAATTCCAGAAAAAATAGTCAACATGATTGCTCTCTTCTATAAAGACTTTTCCTGCAGTATATATAAAAAAAAATTACATCTTTCCCAGTAAAGACGGGTGTAAGACAGGGATGTGTTATGTCATCTCTCCTTTTCAACCTTGTGATTGATTGGATACTAAAGAACACAGTAAACAGGACATTAAGAGGCATACGATGGACTCCATTCACCATGCTTGAGGACCTTGATTTTGCAGATGATATAGCACTCCTATCACATAAACATGAACATATAAAAGAGAAAAGTAACAGACTAAACTGCACAGCAGAAATAGTGCGACTGAGAATAAATACAAAGAAAACTAAGATCATGACAAACAGTCCAAACCAACAACCAGTGACCATAAGTAACCAATCACTTGAAAATGTAGAACATTTCACATATCTTGGCAGTGTGGTGTCCCTACTGGGAGGGACAGAGGAAGACATACAGTCACGTCTGAACAAAACTAGAGCTGCTTTTGGAAGGATGAGGCAAATCTGGAAATCCAACAATTACTGTAGAGGAACGAAACTCCGACTCTACAAGAGCATCATTTTGCCAGTTTTTCTTCATGGAGCGGAATGCTGGAGAATGACCAAAAAGGATGCACACAAGCTGTCCACCTTCCACCACACATGTCTACGTAGAATTATCAAAGTTTTCTGGCCAGATACAATCTCAAACACTAAACTACTTCAAGCCACAAACCAAGAAACTTTAGACAGTATGATTACCAAGAGAAGATGGAAATGGCTTGGTCACGTTATGAGAATGACTTCTGATATACCTGCCAAAACAGCTCTCACATGGACACCAGAGGGAAAGAGAAAACAGGGGCGCCCAAAACCAACATGGAGACGAACGATGGAAAGTGACCTGTGTGCGGCATCTTTGACATTAAAAACTGCACTGAAGATTGCACAGGACAGGAAAGCATGGAAAGTCCTCTCTGAAGCCTCATGTGCCACTAGGCATAACGAGAACTGATGATGATGAATGATCCCCACAGATCTCTGTAAAAACAGAACTGGTGAACAAAACAACACAGTCCATGAAATAAACTCTTACCTTTATACTGTGAGGCAACTTTCTTGACCACTTTACTATGGAGACCACCCCCCCCCCCCCCCCCCCCCCACTCAACAACAAAATGCATGAAAATTGCACTTTATGTAATGCAGTGCAAATAGTTCTTTCACTTTTATGCCAACCAGTAAAGGTATAGCTGTCCTGTCCTGTCACATATATTGTAAGGGTACCTTCACATGCACACAAGGAGCAGAACTACAGTAGCAGTATCAGTAACATCTATACTTGACACATAAACATATGTTACTGAATTTGATTTTCAGCTTACTGTAACTCTGGTTATGAGAAGAATGTTAACAGCTGTAATCCTTGCCAAAGAGGTTATTACAAGGACAATATGGTTGACTTGTTCATGGCTTGTACGGCCTGTGACAGCACGTATGTGACACCAGCAGGACCACCAGCCACAAATGCTAGCCAATGTACCATACGTGAGTACTCCAGTTTCAGTTATTTTTATCATAAAAATATACCAATATAAATTTTTGAATTTTGAATTTCTCAGTTTGCAGTAAATCCATTGAATAAGTGTACTTTTTGTTTATCTTTAGGTTTCTGTCCTTCCTTAAATAAATAGCTTTATATCATAGCACCAAGCTGAATACAATTGGAAAGTTATTGGAAAACATTTTCGGAAAGTAAACATCATACTGTCATGAGAATTAAATGCCTCATTCCACTCACCTTGAGAGGATATTACCCAGAGAGTCCTGGGGAAATGTAGCAGTCTTTGCTTGTGATGAGTACGAGGTACTCCACTCACCCATGGAAACTTGTGTTGCTGCAATAAATGTTGAAGAAACACACAAAAGGTAGCCTTGAGTAGTCTTGAGGCATGTCATCCGCCTTGAGTGCTGGAGGTCCCGGGTTCAGGCTCCTGTGAAGGCTGGTATTTTTTAACGTGGACATCTAGTTATTTCCTCTGCTCTCTGGGTAGTAAGATTGGACGTCCATGTGTATTGTTGCGCACATAAAAAATCCCTTGACAGTTGGGAATGAAAAGATAGCCTAATGGCACTTCTGGGCAAAATTTGGAGTTAAAATTCTACCCATTTGTAGCATTTCCAAGCATGCCCCCTCCTCATCTTCAGCAGCCAGCACAGAGTTCCAGTACTGATGGTACCAGTCACAATCTAGTTATATGTCTGTCTTGCCTTTCCTCTGAGTGTAGTGAGCCAGCCAGACCCTCTGGTTAAACCCAGTGCGTCATTCTCTCCAGGCCATAAAAATCTGATTCCGTTGCTTGTTCCCAAAGGGCCTTGACTACATCTGCCTTGTCATTCATCCAGTGGTGCAGTTCCAGCCAATCTGTCAGCCTGTTCATTACCCACCACGCCGGCATGGCCTGGTGAAAAGATCCAAAGTATGCTCACTACCCGTGACCTTTCCAGTGAAGCTTTCCACTCTGCTTGAAGTATCCGTGTCTTCATCTTTCTCAGGATTCTTTCACAGTCTGTTACAATTACAACATGTGTATGCATCTTGTTCTGTAGTCACCGGAGAGCTGCAGAGATCATGGAGAGAACTCATACAATGTTTCAGATTATGGGAGCATGTTTTGATTGGAGTCCTGCTTGTTATGAGCATGTAGACCATGTGATAATGAAAGCAAAGGTGGGCTTGACGGCTGTAATGATAATGGCTGCAACATCTGTCCATTCAGTAATTGAGTATGCTGTGGTGATTCTGACTAGATATAGAGACTAAATCAGAGTCAGAATGAGGACATGTGCATGCAGTGCAGCGCAGTGTGTTACTTTTTTTAACTTCCAACTATGGAAGTGAGAACAGTGATCTGTCAAGCACATGTGTATATGCGTGTCAGCACCGACATACACATCACCCACTGCACATTGACATTCGCAGGAAGAAGGGTATCAGATTAACAAGAGGAAAATCTTGGATTGGGAAAATATTATTCAAATGGTTTGTTCACGAGGACATAGAACCTAGTGAGGAATGGGTATAAGTGCCAGCTCAGTAGTGTATATACTTTTTAGTCTGCATAAAACTAGACTTCTCTTATCAATTGAAGAAGAGAATAATCAGATCAATCAGAAAGCCACAAAAACCAGCAACAGACGATTACCATATAATGGACAGGTCCTAGCAAGTCATTATTGTACTCCTTAGAACAGGACACAGTCGACTTCGCAGTCACATGTACACAGAATTTAAGATTTCATGAATCAGTCATGTGTACATGTGGATTAGCACCTGAGACAATAGGTCTTGTTCTCCAAGACTGTCCCAAATACAACATATTAAGGCAAAACGTTTAACTGAAAGAAACAGCAGGTACAAGCCAGACTTTACGGGCCGCTGACTGAATTACAACAGACAGTGAAGTTCATACTAGAGATAACAGTGCAGATAAAGATAATCTATTTTAATCAAACAAAAGAAGAAGAAAAGAGGCAGAATGCTCACTTGTCACACCATTATCCTGCAAAGCACACCCTCACAGTTAAAAATTTTCCGTCACATCCCCCCCTCGTCCCCCACCCCACCCCCTTTTTTAAATACTAGCTAAAAAGGAATGTCAAAGCTGAATATTTGGACCTTCTGCTTGAAGAATGTGAATCACACCTCAAATTTCACAGCTGGTGGGACAAGCAATGACAGTGATCTTGTTTATACATTCGCAGTTCATTAACCACTGAAAAAAATGCGATAAGTTGGTTTGTAGTGACTAAAAGGGCTGCTGAATGATGCAAGCAAGCAATGAACAGTATCACTATCACAAACCATTTATTTTTGCCAGGTCTGTCAGAGTTTCATTTTGGAATAACTCTTGTACACATACACACACACACACACACACACACACACACACATATATATATATATAAAGTTACAGAAAAATAAGTTTAAAAATTGGCATTGGTAAAAAGAAAAAGTGTTTAAAAAGTTTTTGAAGTTTTGTGCAACAAATCTTCATTAGTTTGTGTTGGTAAAAGACTACATGCATAATGTAAATATGCTAGGCTATGTGAAATGTAGCCAGCTATTAGCAAGACATGAATATGCAGGGGTCCTTATTGTACAGTTGAATGATACATGTAAAATTTAAACAAAAATGAATACATTGTTATTTATGTGCTAAAAAAGAAGAATACATTTCTCCAGTGTCTTTGCTTTGAAGTCAGCTTCCATAGAGCGTTTAATATTTTAGATGTTCTCAAATTTCATAGCATCAGAAACCAGGCATAACAGAGCATAACAGATTCCATGACACCATCCAAAATATACACAGTTGAGATCTTTCATGTTAAAGTTTGTTTTGTTCATATAAAACTAATAACAAGTAAAGACCTTATAGTAGGTGTACACTTTAATGACATCCCATATGTGACACTCTCATCTTTCCTTGACTGCCACTCTGTTTATATTTTAAAACACAGCACCTACAGTTGGAGCATTAATTTCAGGAAGACATTTTGTTTTCTCTGTGTATGTATGTATGTATGTATGTATGTATGAGTGCCCAGCGTCCATATGCCTCCTTGGTCACCGTTTTTTTTTTTAAACTTGTATATTTTACAGGCAACTGCCCAGCAGGAAGTTTTATAAATGGGGACAACTGCACATTATGTCCTAAAGGTTCTTTCCAGGACCAGCCATGGCAGACTAATTGCACTGTCTGCGGCCCCAACAGAAACACAGAGAAAGAGGGAGCTACTAACAATACCATGTGCTTGTGTAAGATATGTTAATTCTAAAACAAATGAGAATGACTGGATGATTACATATTGATGCCATGTTTATTTGAAACAGTTTTATGTCATGTTAATTTTTTTAAAGTTTTTATCCTTATCTACCAACGTACAGTGAACCACCATAGAGCAAATGGTTGTTATGATTGCATGTGGTTATGAGTTTGAGTCCCCATTGTGTGACAATTGTTAAAAGTGAACCAACTTCATCCCACCAGAAACTGTACAGGAATATGTCGTGGATCTCAAACTGACTAATGATTTTATTAGAGACATTAAATTTGAGAACTGATTGGAAATGAGGACAAAGTTAAACACAATTATGCTTTAAAGAATTTTTGAAATTCCTGAGACTGAATTTACTGACAGAAATTACTGGTCTCCTAAGGCTATGGCACATTATTTTTTTTTACATGTAGATATAATTGCTAGCACTGGTTGATTGGCTAAATGCAAAGAGGTACGGCAGAAACTCTACATTCATAGGAAAGGTAAGGCAGATGTAAAATCAAACTGCTACTTGTACTAGCAGGATGGGAATTCTGCACTGGCTGCTGAAGATGAGCATGGAACAGGTATGCAAATGCTGCGAGTACTGTGATATATGTTCTTGACTTAGCTCAACTCAACTTAACTCTGCTTGCTACTAACTTGGCCAGTATAAAACCTTGACAACTGTATCTCTAAGCTCTATTGAAAACTCAACAAAGACAGCACAGTGGTGTTCTCTTTAATTACATTTGTTTTGTGTTGGCTGATTACACTTGAGAGCAAGACCTGGTATTCACATGAAAACAACCAATCTTTACTAATTTTGAGGTACTGAACACAAAAATGACACTAAAATATATTGTTTGGCTTTCGCTTAGGAGATTCTGAGATGGTCATGTATAAACCACTCAGCCTGCATATACTACGAATGTTAATATTTCAAACTGCCATCTTTATCTGCCGAATGCAACATATTTCGAGAATTGCATCACCCAAACATATACATCAGTCGAGGGAACTATTGTTAACTAAAAATGATACACTAATTATAAAAAAGCAAACTTTGGCACATGAACAAGTAATTTTATCCATGCGGCTTAAATCTAGCAGTAGGGATGCCTTGAAAGTGATTTAAGTGCAGATAACCTTTATTATAGTTCCGAGAAAGTAACATTTGCAAGCCAGAAAAAGGTCATCAGAGAAAACTTAAAAAAAAAAAAAAAAAGAATAATGACTTATTTTAAAGTTATTTTAGATGCAGAATCGAGGACAAGGCATGGGCCTTTCACAAATGCTTTAGTACTTTTGCAAGAAAACCTATGCAGTAGATATAAGATAAAAGGTATCTATGCCATCTGCTGTTCCTATGGTTTGGACAGAGCCTGGCAATCACGTAAATTATTTCTATTTCTTCATTTTCTACCTGTGTCAGGAGGGGTCACACTGACACACACACAAAATGGACTATAGTGTACCCAAAATTACAGTCTGCTTTCTGACTAGTTTTACATTATGGACTTTACATTACAAACCTCCAAAAGACATTTCCTTGAAAGAGTTTGCCATTGTGAGAGAAGAGCCGATACCAGCTGCTCCACAGCTTTCAGCATCTAGTGATGATCCATTTATCTGCCAAGGAGTGTCTTCTGCACCAGACATTCTTACCCAAGAAGAAGTGAAACAAGTATATATTTCTCAGTAATTATAGCCAGTTTAACTTTTTCATTGTCATAGTTGTGCTCAGCCCCCTGAGGTCTGTAAGAAATGGCTAATTTTATCTAGGTGCCCTGACTTTTGTCAAATTTTATTGTTCAGATTTTTTTTAAAGCTTTTAAATGATCCTGTCATTTTTTTTTGTGTCAATTGTATCTTCCCCTCAAGTTTTTCTTCTGTTTTTATTTATACAGTATCTCTTTCTATAATGTTTCTCTCTTGTGTGACATCTGTGCATATTCTGATTTCCTTTTTTGTTTATTCCAAAGACTGTGCAAGTTTATGTTAGAATTCCTCCATTCACTGGGCTTTTTTTTTCTTCTCTCTTTTTGTTCATACGTCCAGTGAGTTGTCCAGCAGGCACAGAGAATAAAGGGCTGTCCGATACATGTGATCCCTGCATGGTGGGATACTACAAAGATGTAGAGGCAGCCGCCAGGTGTAGACCCTGTGGAAACTTCTCAGAGAATGACATCCATATCACTACCACTAATGGCTCCACAAGCATTAATAACTGCACCAAATGTGAGTATTTCAAGTATAGTGTGGTAGAAATATTATTTGTCATTTTATTGTAATTGCATTGGCAGTTTCAATTAGTGAGGCAAACATTTCCTCTTCATTACAATAATAGAAATAATGGAAGTCATAGTAGCACAGTGGCCAGCACACTTGCCTACCAGTTCTGTGGTTAAAGGTTTAAATCTCCACTGAGGTGGATTGTTTAAATTAAGCTAGACTCTCAGGTTAGTCCTGGATAAAATAAAAACCAGTAAATCACAAGGGAAGCAAATGCAACCTGTATAAAACTGACCATATCACCTTCCAAGCTCTGATTTGTTTTTAAAATATGGGACTAGCACTACATATTCAGTGTACATTAACTTGTCAAGGGGGTGATCTGGAATTTCCTGATCGCTTCCACAGTGGGTGCTTTTTTCAGGCTGTGCTGGAGTCACAAGAAAATGTCAACAGTTTGAAAAAAATTTCTGTAAAAGACGCCTGTTTTCATTCATTACTTTTCCAACAATTTTTAATGACATTGATTACTTTCTAAAATTCATTACTTTTCTAAAATTCTTTTCTGGAGTGCATTATTTTTCCAAAATTCTTTTCTGACACTCATTGACTATTTAAGGCCCGAGCAATGCCGTGAGTGTTGATTTAAAAGTTCCAACATGCCCAAACAACACTCAACATCAATCGTGTGTCCCATACATATTGCTTCGCACACAGCTTCCTACTTGTTTCTAATGTTCAGAACTACCATTAAAGTATTCAGGAAGGTTACTCGAATGATTTCCTTTTAATAACATTTCGTATCCCAAGTCACATGTGCATAGATTGATCGGATTCATAGCTACATTATTTTCAACAATGTATTCTCTAAGTTCATTTTTGAGTGCCATGAATACCAATGTTCCAACCACAAGTACAGGTCACAGAATATGTCTTTCTGCAGCCAAAGCTCTGAAATTGTTTCAGTCAGATGATTTAATTCTGATAATGATAATGAAAATTCAGATCTTTCAGAAAGTGATTCGGACGGTGAATTTTCACCGGCAGCAGCTGAGGGGTCAGCTGTTTGAGAATCTGGCAATTCTGATGAATTTACACAGAGAATTTTCCGTTCCTACCCCATTTAGGTTATAAGAGAAAAAAAAGTGCTCCAAACAAATAGACAGTATACTATACTATGGCTAAGCTACATTGAAATCATTGCAGGTACAGTCTGTGTATAACTGTACAAAGTAAATAGTAAATAGTGTATGTGTAATGAACCATGTTTCTGCCCATTTTTTCTCTGAAATTTTGCTCAACTCTCTGTGAGAACTAAGAGCCTCTGAGTGCTAAACTAACCCAGAAACTTTTCATAACTTTGGAATTTGTTAGGAAATTGAAATAACTTTCAAGTGTTATTCTAAAATTTGGATATTCACTGCTCATATGGCTGCAAAACTTTAGTAAGCGAAGAATGTTTTTGGAAAATTATGTTGTTGTGAAATTAACACCTGCTGAATTCTTCTTTCTTGCTAACTAAAACATATACTTATCATCATATTTAAAATGTACATTCGTTTAAAACAAAAAATGAAAGTACTTACAAAAGCCCCCATCAGGAGATTAACATATAAGTGAGCTGAGGTAAAGTAGTATTCACACTTGAACTTATGTACATAATTTACTCAACTATTAGTTTAGAACTTGACATGAAGTTTAATATCTTGATCTAAAGCAAAATAAATTGAATGGTATTGGTTTACAATGTTGCAATCAAGAATCAGATGTTATGATGATAATGAATAAGTCACTGAATTCAATAGGCATATGAGATTGATGAGGTTGTGATGATGATAGTTCTTCTTACAGGAATAAAAGTTTTACATAACTTATTAAACAAATTGAGAAAATAAACATCTGGCTGTTCTCAGTTGGAGACCCTGCCTATCTTTTTCCAGTTTGTTGTCCTCGCTGCTTCAAGCAGGTCTTACACTCAGACTGTCTGCAAAGAATGGATGCCGACTTGTCCCAGCCCAATGTAGGAACTGGAAAAATGAAAAAACAGTGCCACCAAGTTCTGCCTGAAGCTTAGGGTTTAAGACCAACAAATGGTGTGCTGATGGCATGTGCTGATAGCAGGCTCTCCCTTTCCAAGACCTAGAGTCTATCCTTTTATAATCTCTCCTAAGCTCCTCCTACATTACTGCTGAAACCACTCTCATTCAAGGGCTGCTAAAATTTCTGACCTGGGGACAGTCCTATCACTAAATTCCTGCCAGACCAGAATGCACAAACATGTGTTTGCTAATACTGCATTACATTCCCACAGTCTATCAAGCTGGCCATAGCTCATATGCAAAATTACACCTTTCTCCTCATTTTCAAGCTGCTGTAATCTGTCTGCTAACACCTCTATCAAACCAGTGTGAAAACTAGCTATCTGACCTGCACCCATGTGGGGTAATCTCGGGGGAGATAATCACAATTAGCCTGAGTTATCTGCTCCTAAAGTTCTAACTAGGGGATAATTATCTGACACCTCAGTTCTACAAGCAAAACTTCCCATTACTATGTCTGAGCTTTCTACCTCACTGGTGCCACTGAGTCTACCTATTCATTCTTATCTGCTCGACACCTTACATCTGGGCAAAAGTTTCAGTGTTTGATATCAACTACAGTCCAGAGAAATTAAACAGCTTTGTTCTGGTTGACCTAGATTTAGATTACAGCCCAGGAGCAATGTTTTCCTCTATAACTGAAAATATATAGACAAAAATTAAGTTGAAGAAAAACGCGTTCTGAAGTCAAGAGCATGTTGTCACATGTACCAAAGTGGGCTGTTCCTTTTAGCTTGGTGTCCTAATCACTCTTAGATCTGTCAGATGCCGGCCTAATGCTAGGAACACAGAGATCTCTTTTTCTGTAATTTTATACCTAAATTAAAAAATGCAAAAAATTATGAGTGTTTTCGTGAATGAAAGTTTATAGAAAGATCATAATGAATAAATTATTTAACATTTCTAAAAGCAGTAAGAGTTTTTCAAACTCCAGATCTGTGATTATGTGATATGACTGCCTACCTATATTGACAGGACACATGATAAATCATGTGTTTTCACTACATTCATAGCCAACTTAGATCATTAATTTGATAAAGACCTGGTGAAATCTGACATTTTTCAAATGGACTTCTTGTAATTCTCCCTGGCTCTGGGTAGCAAGGTCAGACGCCCCTGTATATTCTTGTGTGTGTAAAAAAATCCCTTGGCAATTGGAAATCCAAGTACCTAACAGCGTTACCCGGGTTAAATTTGGAGTTAAAAATCTACCCAAAGTAATTCATGATCTTTGCCAGGTTAAACGGAGTTCGTGCACTTCGCTTAGATTGTTTAGACTCAGGCTTGAGTTAGAAGTAGAATGGAGCACTTATGGGTTACACCCATATGCCATGATGTTGATCCGTCGAATAAACATGAATAACTAGTACTTGGACAAAACTAGTAATAAAATGGTTTGGCAGCTGAAAACTAAACGTATCCCAGTGAAATGAGAATTAAAGAACAATTGTTGTATTTGGACAGGACACACATTGAGAAAATATACCAATAATATAACTAGAAAATCTTTTGTTTGGACCTCACATAGCAAAGGAAATAAAAGGTGGAGGGAGAGAGAGAAGGAGGGCAGGGCTGGACTTCATGGAATCCAGAATTAGAGACAGCCAGGAGCAATATTCATTCATTCATGGTACTGGTGTGCCATTCATTATATGTCAGATATGGCTTGCAATCTATTCCTCCATTTCATTTATTGTGATATGATAGCATGGATGGAATTCAGTTAAGCACTTTTGGCCTTTCTTTTCAACAATAATTTTAGGGTTTCTTTTGGGTGTCCCCGCTTACTCGGTCCCTTTATTTCCTATTGTAGTGCCTGTCTGGTTATTCTCTGCTTGTTTATTTTCAGGATGTATCCAGTATATCACTATCTTCTTTATCTTATACCATTGTTATTATCAGTGGTTGCCCCCCCCCCCCCCCCCCCCCCCCCCCCACATATTTATGTTGTTTGTTTGCCCCTTTTGAATTCATCCCATTCTATGTTCAACATTTATTTTCAAATCAATTTTCAACTTTCCATGTCTTTAGTGGTTCTCCAACTTTCACTGTTAAAATTGAAAAAAAAACCATTAGAAATGAAAATACAAAACTTGGTTTTAAAACTATACAGTTTATTTTTTTCAGCTTTTTTTCAAGCTGCTGATGCCTTGCCAATGGGAATCTTTCTTCGTATGTCCTTGACTAACAAAATTATTTAATAAATAAGTGAATTGATCTGTTACCTTAATTCTTTTTACCTCTAGTGTCATATCTTCTTTATCTGTTATTGGTGTATTTAATATATTTGTCTTTTAGTAACTTATTTACTCAAATTTTTAATATTAAATCTGTTAAATCACCTAGTTTTTCCTTGCATGTCATTGTTGTTTTTACTTAGCAGAACAGTATAATCAGCAAAACAGATCTTCCACACTATTTCATCACCTCGTCAATGGTTATGCCAAATAGCAGAGGAGATCAAATACACCCATGTTTCACTCTAGTTTCAACTGCAAACTAATCACTAAAACCATCACATGTTCACACAGCACACTATGAACATTTGTACATTGCCTTAAAAATAATTATCATTTTTGATAGTATACTATAGCATTCCAAAATTCCCCATGGTGATGTTCTGTGTAAGCTATCATATTTGTAATGTTTTTTTATTTTTTACTGTGACCAATGTAGCATTGTGAACTGTAGATTAAAAAATGGTGAATGGCCTTTTGCCACAGAATTGATGGTGCCTTATGTGATTAAAATTAATTGCATGTGCAACTGCTGATCTGTTTGTAACTGTTGCTTCCGTCGAGGATGAACTGCATTTCTAATGTCAGACTGTTTGTGTTAGCACTTCTGGTGGATGCCGCATGATTTTATTTGTTTGTATTTAATGGCTATGCTGACAGTGCAGTCTATGTCAGTTTTCCTCAATAGACAGTGATGGACATTCAATCTGTTTTTCATTGGCACAGAAGCAGACAGCTATAGTGTGACTCCTTTGCTATGAAGCAGAAACTAAGATTACTAGGTAGAATCATTTTTACCAACCAGTGTGGCACTGAGGTCAAGCCGGCCTTAAAGTAAAAGGGTATTATCAGACAATTTTCTAGCAACTGTCTAATGCAGAAAGACAATAAAACAGCCCACTGCACATAATTATTTCATGATATATGGAGGTTTAAAATGACACCTCAGCAGCAGTAGCTACTTACTACAGAGCTACCTTTGTCTTCTTTTACAGCTTGCAGGAGTGTGTATTGTTCAATTTGTTTATCTTGTTTAAAAAAAATACCTCAACAGCTATTTTTATGTCTACAGTGGTCTGCCTTGCTGGACATTATCCTGCTAATAATAAATGTACCCCTTGTGAATTTGGAACATTCCAGCCAGTACGGTGGGCAGATTCTTGCAGCATCTGTAACCTGTCATACACAACATACATTAGAGGAGCTGTCAGTTCCAGTGACTGTGAATGTATGTAAAACATTCATATAAATGTTCAGATTTAACAGATATTGTGTGTAATGGAAGGGGTAGCAGGTCATTCAGCTGGGTAGACACTTGACTATTATCATTAAACTTTAGTTGAACATGTATGCATTTACACATTTTTCCTGGAAAAGTAATATTTGTAAGTCAGTATAAATAATCAGTAAGACAGTAAGTACATAAAAAAAAACATAAATCGTTTATCATTTACTGTTTTTAGTATAATTTTCTTATTGAAGGTAATTTTCTCTTTAAATGCTCTTGGATAGCATGGTGAATGCTCTTTATTGTCATGCTGAATTTTGTTTGATATGATGTTGTTTTTACTCCATAGTCATGGTGAAAACTCTTTGATATAACAAATGGCATTTAACAAGAGCTTAAAAGCTGATTGAGTTGCATTTTGATGTCATTCTTGGGATCAAATACAAAATACCATCATTGTCTGAATTTGGAATATCACTGTAAAAAGAATATCTATTTCTGTAACAAGATTTTTTTAGCCATGTCAATAATAGAAACTAAAACAGCAATCGAATGAATGTTATTGCAGCACTTTATCTTTCAGAATTAATGCTCCAGCCACATTTTCTAACCTCTAAGCAGCAGCATATGTCATATTAGCTGAAAATTGTAATTTTAGGACATTGGATTTCACAAATAAGCTGAAACTCTGCTATATTACAGTTATTTTAGTTTTTGTATTTGGTTAGCTGTCATATGGGCCGCACAACAGTTTTCCCTCTTTAGGTGAGTTGAGGTGTAAAAAAAAGGGAGTAGATACTGACTGTCCCCCAAATACAGACTATAACCACTTCAGGTTAGCTTCCAGAATCACACTTAATTTAAACAGCAATGTTCGACATGTCCATATGTACTCCCTCAAGTTGACAAGTAGCAACATAATGTCAGGTACTTTTTAAACATGCCTGTTCAAGATTCAAGCTATTAACCTCGTGCTCTGAAAGTAATGGGTTTGTTGCATCATTTGGGGATTATTGCAGAGATATGAAGCTTATGCTTTGGGCCATGCTGTCAGTAAGTGGCTAGCCATTCTGCAGAGAAAGACAGAACAACATAGGATAAGGACGGTTTCAGTGAAGTCAATCCTCGAGACTTTAATTCAGCCTGTATCATTTGTTTAGAGACTTTTCTCATAACCCTGAACCAAATTACTTTCCCTATAGAGACACTGTTGCAAAGATCTCCTTCCCCTCTGCCAGCCCAGATGCCAGAGGTGTGCAACAGTCAGTATAGGATCCTTATGTCTGAAGAGAGACATACTAGAAAGTAATTGGGTCATGACTTAATGTAGCACGAATGAAATGACTAGAATGAGACCTTGATTGATCATGATTTCTCCATAGAATTTCAGTTTTTCATTGCCAACAAGTTCTTGCTTAGTGCACAAGGAGCATTTAAATGTCATAGAGTAATTTATTCAAAACAAATGTTAGCCCTTACAGTGAATGTAGAGCTGAGTTTTGCCTAAACCTGTCTAGCCATAGACTGATGATAGAATATTTTCCCTTTCTCTTTTTTCAGACAACTGCAGCCTTGGAGAGGAGCTTGTGAATGGTACTTGTGTCAAGTGTGCAGTAGGATTTTATAATAACAAGACTGACCCTACTCGTAGGCAGTGCTTTCCATGTCCCAGTGGTCTGATTACACAGCAGGAAGGTGCAACATCTGTACTACAGTGTAACATTGGTAAGTTGTTTATGGTGTAATAGATTGCTGATGATAATTCTTTAAAACTTTATTGCACATGTTTTCTGAATAATGTGAGGCTGTTCAAAAGTATCATTTCTCAGCTGTTTCCACAGTAAAAAAAATCAAACACAGGAAACCTTTATGCACATGTATGGGTTTGGTCTCACTGGCACAAAACTTCAGAAGCTGATTTTGTGTGATGAATACTCACCAGATTTTCATTTGCACAAAACGATGAAAGACTAGAGAACGAAGCCAGGAGTCACAGCCTGAGTTAGCCCTCCCCCAGAGAGTGCTAGATACATAAAGAGGCCAAAACATTTGGCGAAGAAGCTAACATTGAGAAGACGAGAAGAGATTATATCTTAAACCATAGATTTGCTCTTCATTACTCAGGAGATGAGTGGTCCTGAGGTATGGGGTCCGCCTCAAGTGCTGGAGGTCTTGGGTTCATGCCCCGGTGAAGGCTGGGACTTATTCTCATGGTCTTCTAGTAATTTCCCCTGCTCTCTGGATACATGGATTGGTTGCCCGTGTATATTCTTGCGCACATAAAAAATCCCTTGGCAGTTGGAAATCAAAAAGAGTAGTCTAATGGCGCTGCCCAGGCAAAATTTGGGGCTAAAAATCTACCCAAAGTAATTTAAGGATCCTCGCCCGTGCACAGAGTTTGTGGACTGCGCTGAGATTCTTCAGACTCATGCTTGAGTTAGAAGTAGAAGGGAGCACATATGGTTACACCCATGTGCCATGATGTTGGTACGTCAACTCATGATTCCTGGCTCCGCCCATATACTCACCTAATAATGATGAAAGCGGGACAGGACACTGTGATTGGACCTTTAGTCTCCACCTCAAGGTGTCAGATATTCAAGTTTAAGTGGAAGGGGTGTATATTTTGGAGTGCAAAGCAGTGGCTTTTCTGAGTGACATAGTGTATAGTATTAGTGTTTGGTGGTTGGCACATGACAGCCGTCTAGGATTTTGCATAGGAAATGAGTTTACTGCAGCAGGTAGAGTTCCGTGTTTGTAGTGCAGAGCGTTGTGCGGGCCACCGCTAAATGTTAAGTGTGAAACCACGTCACGTAAAATTATCTGTCTCATGGGACTTGGGTTCAGTTTGTGGTGAATGAGGTTTTGGTTAGGGCCAGTTGCAGATTTTATGGGAGTTATTAAAATAACTAACTTACTGTAATATGGAGGTTGCGTCAACAGAGAGTGAGTTATTGATTTTCTGAGGTCTTAAATGTGGGCATGGTGACACCCCTTGAACCTTTACAGAAGTTGACTTGGCTGATCAATGAAAACTTTCTTAGTGTGTAAATTTGCGGCACTGAACTAGATGGGCCTTAAAAAGGGTTAAGAACCGAATTTTCAACACCATATTGACTCCTTACATCAAACCTGCATAAAGTATGATATGAAAATAAACACTGGAAACTGAGGTAAGGAAAATAGGACAGAAACAAAATAACATGAATGACCATGTTAATGGTACTACAATTAAACAAGTATGAGAATTCAAAAATCTAGGAAGCATATTTACAGAAGATAGCAGATTCGACAGAGAGACAGAAGCCAGAGTACAGAAGGCAAATGTTAAGCCCCCTGCTTAAATACTCAGACGTCTCCGTCCATCAGAACAGCAAATGATTAATAGCATCTTCATCCCTACTTTAAGTTGTCAGTGCCAAACACGGACAATGAATGGACTAGAAGAGAGTGACAAGAGGTTCTGGCAGATACTTGAGGCTCAGAGGAAAGGCAAGATGGATGTTTAATCAGAATGCTACCGGCACTATTAGTATCAGAACTCTTCACTGACTGCTGAAGATGGGGACAGAGCACTTATGGAAATGCCCCGAAGGCTACCGGCACTATTAGTGTTTGAACTCTTCACTGGCTGCTGAAGATGGGGACAGAGTGCTTATGGGAATGCCCCAAATGCCATTATGTTGGTTCTTAAATCATTTAACTCAATTCAACTCAGAAGAGAAAATAACTACATGTAAAATGTCTCTGTAAGATAACTAACACCACAAAAGGGACAAGGTTACAAGTACCAGCATTAGAGAGAAAATTAAAATAAGCAGAACATCTATGAGAAATGCACTGTGTTGTAGTAGAAAGCTGGAGACTTTTGTTAGGAGAATGGAGACTTTTAGTAAGAGACTAGAGATTTGTAGTAGGAGACTTGGAGCAGGAGACTGGAGTCTTGGAACAGGAGACTGGGGACTTGGAGCAGGAGACTGGAGACTTTTAGTAGCAGACTGAAGACTTGGAGTAGGAGCAGGAGACTGGAGTCTTGGAACAGGAGACTGGAGATTTGGAGCAGGAGACTGGAAACGTAATAGAAGACTGGTGACTTGTAGTAGGAGACTGGAGACTTGTAGTAGGAGACTTAGAGACTTGTAGTAGGAGACTGGAGACTTGGAGTAGGAGACTGGAGACATGTAGTAGGAGACTGGAGACTTGTAGTAGGAGACTTAGAGACTTGTAGTAGGAGACTCGAGACATGTAGTAGGAGACTGGAGACTTGTAGTAGGAGACTTAGAGACTTGTAGTAGGAGACTCGAGACATGTAGTAGGAGACTGGAGACTTGTAGTAGGAGACTTAGAGACTTGTAGTAGGGGACTGGAGACTTGGAGTAGGAGACTGGAGACTTGTAGTAGGAGACTTAAGACTAGGTTTAGGAGAACAGAGACTTAGAAAAAAAGGGAGACTTTTATTAGGAGACTTGAGACTTAAAGTAGGAGACAGGAAACTTGTAGTAGGAATCTTGTAGTAGGAGACTGGAGACTTGTAGTAGGAGACTAGAGACTTGGAGTAGGAGACTGCAGACTTGTATTAGGAGACTAGAGACATGGAGTAGGAGACTGGAGACTTGTAGTAGGAGACTAGAGACTTGGAGTAGGAGACTAGAGACTTGGAGTAGGAGACTAGAGACTTGGAGTAGGAGGCTGGAGACTTGTAGTAGGAGACTGGAGACTTGGAGTAGGAGACTGGAGACTTGTAGTAGGAGACTGGAGACTTGGAGTAGGAGACTGGAGACTTGTAGTAGGAGACTAGAGACTTGGAGTAGGAGACTGGAGACTTGTAGTAGGAGACTAGAGACTTGAAGTAGGAGACTGGAGACTTGTAGTAGGAGACTAGAGACTTGGAGTAGGAGACTAGAGACTTGTAGTAGGAGACTAGAGACATGGAGTAGGAGACTAGAGACTTGTAGTAGGAGACTAAGAGACTTGGAGTAGGAGACTGGAGACTTGTAGTAGGAGACTAAGAGACTTGGAGTAGGAGACTGGAGACTTGTAGTAGGAGACTAAGAGACTTGGAGTAGGAGACTGGAGACTTGTAGTAGGAGACTAAGAGACTTGGAGTAGGAGACTGGAGACTTGTAGTAGGAGACTAGAGACTTGGAGTAGGAGACTGGAGACTTGTAGTAGGAGACTAAGAGACTTGGAGTAGGAGACTGGAGACTTGTAGTAGGAGACTAGAGACTTGGAGTAGGAGACTGGAGACTTGTAGTAGGAGACTAAGAGACTTGGAGTAGGAGACTGGAGACTTGTAGTAGGAGACTAGAGACTTGGAGTAGGAGACTAGAGACTTGGAGTAGGAGACTGGAGACTTGTAGTAGGAGACTAAGAGACTTGGAGTAGGAGACTGGAGACTTGTAGTAGGAGACTAGAGACTTGGAGTAGGAGACTGGAGACTTGTAGTAGGAGACTAGAGACTTGGAGTAGGAGACTGGAGACTTGTAGTAGGAGACTAGAGACTTGGAGTAGGAGACTGGAGACTTGTAGTAGGAGACTAGAGACTTGGAGTAGGAGACTGGAGACTTGTAGTAGGAGACTAGAGACTTGGAGTAGGAGGCTGGAAACATGTAGTAGGAGACTTGTAGTAGGAGACTGTAGACTTGTAGTAGGCGATTGAAGACTTGGAGTAGGAGACTGGAGGCTTGTAATAGCAGACTGGAGACCTTTAGTAGGAGACATGGAAACTTGTAGCAGAAGACTTAGAGACTCTGTGTAGTAGGAGACTTGTTGAAGGAGACTGGAGACTTGTAGTAGAAGACTTAGAGACTTGTAGTAGGATACTGGAGACATGGAGTAGGAGACTGGAGGCTTGTAGTATGAGACTTGAGACTTAGAGTAGGAGACAGGAATGTACAAACAGCTTAGCATAATCAATCCTGAAAAATTATATTTGTATTTGCTTTATTGAGATACATGTTTTCAGCCCATAATATTGTTTTGTATTCTTTATTTCTAGTGGATTGCTTAACACTGGGTCAGTACCGAGATGTCGGTGACAACACATGCAAAGATTGTCCCATTGGCCAATTTCAGGACACTATCAGACAAACGAAATGCAAAGGCTGTCCATTTAATACTACCACACAGAGTGTAAAGAGCACATCTGTTGCTGACTGTAAGAGTAAGTGATATCTGTTTTTCCATTACATGAACTTAGTTTATATTGAAGATAAATTATTTTATATGGTGAAGTGATGCACAACCAATATATGCAATGATCTTATGACATGACCATTTTTTACCATATATTTAGCAGTGTTATCTTGTTTAAAAGTGGTGAATTAAATGTATAGTTCACACTCTAATTGATCTATGTTCCATTCAGTGTATTTAATGTATACATGGCGGAGTGTTGGTAATTTTAAAATAGTCATAATTTTACATAAACATAAAGTGTATCATTGTATTCTTTCTTTTCATAGAGGACTGTGAATCAGGATTTTTTCTGAACAGCACTGACAACACATGTATGGCTTGCCCAGAAGGCACTTACCGCAATAAGACAGAGGGTCACTGGAACTGTTCTGGCTGTGGGGCTAATTTAACCACAGCCAAGTCTGGTTCAACTAAGCTTTCTGACTGTTCAGTGCGTAAGTTCACTTTTGTTGTCACATTGGCCTTTGAATCTATATTAATTATCTTATATGTCTTTTGGATGCAAACTTGCTGTAAAAATTAATGATTTTATGTTTTTGTATTTTGTTGTTTGAGCAGCAACCTGCAGCCCGGGTTATGCTTATGACGTATCGCTACAAGATTGCATTATATGCCCTGTCAACTCCTATTCAGAGGGAAAGTTTTGGCCCTGCAGACCCTGTCCTAATGACCAGATTACTGACAGTGTAGGATCTTCAGCTTTAGACAAATGTCATTGTGAGTTTATTAACTGAAATTCGCTGTATTTTCACCATTTTATTGCATTGTGTGCTCTTTTTAAATATGTTTTTGCATTCTGTCAAGTACCAGCATGTATTATGTATGCATATTTTCTATTTACGCCACAAGCTATCAAGTATATGTAAACACAGTGTCCTCTTCTTCTGTTGTTTCCCTTCTTTGGAGCATAGATACTTAAAATCACCCCACACCAGGGGCTTGTCATCCTTGCTGTCTGTTGCACTTCCTCCCCATGTCCTTCCCATTTAAAAAAAAAATCTCTGTCTCTAACTCTGCTTGCCATATATTGTTAGGTCTTTCAGTAATATGCACAAATTACTATTAGGAAGATATCCATTTTGGTAAGAGAAAGAGTGTTAAAGAGCTGAATCAAACCTATAATGTTGTGAGTGTGAAACATGAGCTGTAAGCAGACTAGCTGAAAAACAATTAATCAGAGTGGAGATGTGGCTTAGAAGAATGCAAAGAATATCATGAAATGATTTTAAACAATGACAGCTGAAATCATTGTCACCAACCCCACATGGATAAACACACTTATTTTGTGAGTGTGTAGGTTTGAATCCTAACACTGCAACCCCACATGAGAAACTGGTATGATATCAGAGCTATGCTGATCCCAGAGACAGTCCTGGGTAAACAAGAAAAGTGCAAAAAAATTAAAAAATTAAAATAGCTCTATTTGTATCCCCAGGAGTAGGAAAAGGGTAGTTAGATATCTAGATATATTTACTTAGAGAATATCAAGATACACAGTAAACCCCTGCCATTTCCTCCTCTACTGGTATTAATTTATAATGAAAGCACCCACCAAGTGTGATAGGGATTTTAAAATTAAAGTGTTTAGTTACACATTACTAACATAGCCACTTGGAACTATGAATAATAGTTAACAAACTATAAGTTTACTAACTTGAACATGATTTTATTGAATAAATCTAACTAAAAATTAACGGATGGTATTGATCTTGCAAACATAAAAGATAATATTGATCTTGCGATCATAAAAGATAATATTGATTTTGCAATCATAAAAAATAATAGCTCAGTGATGGTAATGTCATCACTGAGTTCAATAAGTACATACAATAGTAGAGTGAGGATGGTGTTACAATGTTTACATGATGAGTAAATATTATGTAACTTGTAAACCTGGGACAGATCTCACCAATGAGACTGCCAACTTTTTCTCATTCTGTCATCCTCAACTCCTTCAAGCAGGTCAAACACTTGGACCATCTGCTACTGATATGCACTGACTGGTCCTTGCCCTGATGGGACTGCGATAAAAGAAACAAGCACATATGTGTAGTGTCTAGATTAAACACATTACGCATATTCAGATAAAACATATTTCACCCCTCCTCCTCATTTTCACATTCTCTCCAGTCTGGTCTGGTCTTATGTCCACATAGCCTGCCTTCTCTCTCATGTCTTGTCATGACATTTGAAGTCCTATAAGTCGGTTGTCTGTCCTCACTGAGACTTCGAAACTGTTTTGACATGTTTTGACACAGACATGTGGTACAAGGCTATGTGCTGAAAACCCAAAACTTCATATGTGCTGGTTGTCTTAAATATTGTATTTCCAGGGACAGTTAATTATATACTCTCATGGTTTTTCTCTAGGTGGTCAGTCCCCTGAGTAGGTAAACCCACTAAATTGAGTACATGGTGCGCTAGCAAAACCATCACCACATGGTTACACATGTGGGCATTATATGCCCACAAACAGTGCACATGGTTTTGTGGATGTGTGAAACATTATAATTTCATTACATTTCATTATGATAAATATCAGTATTCAAGTCAATTTATTTTATAAACATGAAAAGTTACATCAAAAAACATGTAATATAAAAATTCAAGAAATGGGAATGGTTTATCGGCTCCCTAAAAGAGATAGCTGAATACTCTCAAAGAGCTGTTTCAAACAATATGTGTATTTAGATAATTTAGGAAGGCAGAAAAGGATAGCTAGACTCCTAACAGATGAATACAAGAATGAAAATAATATTCAGTCAGACCTAGGAAAATTTCAACAATTTGCCAAAAAGACTCAAACAGCTAACAAAACTTTCTAGTGCAGCTCTCAGTCAACATGCTGGCGGCAGTCTGAAGTGAATTCTAGACTCCTCACTATATTTAACTTTTCCCTCATCTTCACTAACAGTTTAGCCCCTTCCACTTTCCATCCTAGACAACTCTCATTCAAGGGATGTCAAACCTCCTCCCTGTGGGTCAGTCCATTTACTAAAAGCCTGTCAATCAGGAAAGCACAAACACTTGTTAGCATTCCCATGGTCCATCTGCTGGACCTAGCTTTGCATGGTCATAAATGGAGTCACACCTTTTTACATTCCCAGTCTGCCAATTGCTCTGTCACCTGGTTTGAGGTTGTCTGATAACACCTCATTCTGAAAGGTGTCAATCATAGCCCTCTGACCTACACTAAAGTGGGGTAATCTTAGAGGGAGATAATTACTTTTATTTTAAGTTACCTGCTCCTAAGGTCTGCTCTCTGAAAATGTCAAGATATCCCAACCTAGGTGGTCTATGCTTTCCACTTCAGTGGTGCCACTAAGTCTGTCTGTTGAGTGTTGTGCCACTAAGTTTGTCTGTTGAGTGTTGTGCCACTAAGTCTGTCTGTTGAGTGTTGTGCCACTAAGTCTGTCTGTTGAGTGTTGTGCCACTAAGTCTGTCTGTTGAGTGTTGTGCCACTAAGTCTGTCTGTTGAGTGTTGTGCCACTAAGTCTGTCTGTTGAGTGTTGTGCCACTAAGTCTGTCTGTTGAGTGTTGTGCCACTAAGTCTGTCTGTTGAGTGTTGTGCCACTAAGTCTGTCTGTTGAGTGTTGTGCCACTAAGTCTGTCTGTTGAGTGTTGTGCCACTAAGTCTGTCTGTTGAGTGTTGTGCCACTAAGTCTGTCTGTTGAGTGTTGTGCCACTAAGTCTGTCTGTTGAGTGTTGTGTCACTAAGTCTGTCTGTTGAGTGTTGTGCCACTAAGTCTGTCTGTTGAGTGTTGTGCCACTAAGTCTGTCTGTTGAGTGTTGTGCCACTAAGTCTGTCTGTTGAGTGTTGTGCCACTAAGTCTGTCTGTTGAGTGTTGTGCCACTAAGTCTGTCTGTTGAGTGTTGTGCCACTAAGTCTGTCTGTTGAGTGTTGTGCCACTAAGTCTGTCTGTTGAGTGTTGTGCCACTAAGTCTGTCTGTTGAGTGTTGTGCCACTAAGTCTGTCTGTTGAGTGTTGTGCCACTAAGTCTGTCTGTTGAGTGTTGTGCCACTAAGTCTGTCTGTTGAGTGTTGTGCCACTAAGTCTGTCTGTTGAGTGTTGTGCCACTAAGTCTGTCTGTTGAGTGTTGTGCCACTAAGTCTGTCTGTTGAGTGTTGTGCCACTAAGTCTGTCTGTTGAGTGTTGTGCCACTAAGTCTGTCTGTTGAGTGTTGTGCCACTAAGTCTGTCTGTTGAGTGTTGTGCCACTAAGTCTGTCTGTTGAGTGTTGTGCCACTAAGTCTGTCTGTTGAGTGTTGTGCCACTAAGTCTGTCTGTTGAGTGTTGTGCCACTAAGTCTGTCTGTTGAGTGTTGTGCCACTAAGTCTGTCTGTTGAGTGTTGTGCCACTAAGTCTGTCTGTTGAGTGTTGTGCCACTAAGTCTGTCTGTTGAGTGTTGTGCCACTAAGTTTGTCTGTTGAGTGTTGTGCCACTAAGTCTGTCTGTTGAGTGTTGTGCCACTAAGTTTGTCTGTTGAGTGTTGTGCCACTAAGTCTGTCTGTTGAGTGTTGTGCCACTAAGTCTGTCTGTTGAGTGTTGTGCCACTAAGTCTGTCTGTTGAGTGTTGTGCCACTAAGTTTGTCTGTTGAGTGTTGTGCCACTAAGTCTGTCTGTTGAGTGTTGTGCCACTAAGTTTGTCTGTTGAGTGTTGTGCCACTAAGTCTGTCTGTTGAGTGTTGTGCCACTAAGTCTGTCTGTTGAGTGTTGTGCCACTAAGTTTGTCTGTTGAGTGTGGTGCCACTAAGTTTGTCTGTTGAGTGTTGTGCCACTAAGTCTGTCTGTTGAGTGTTGTGCCACTAAGTTTGTCTGTTGAGTGTTGTGCCACTAAGTTTGTCTGTTGAGTGTTGTGCCACTAAGTTTGTCTGTTGAGTGTTGTGCCACTAAGTTTGTCTGTTAAGTGTTATCTGGATCCTTGACACCTTACCTCTGGGCAAGAGTCTGAGTATTTGATACAACCATAAACTAATTAGATGTCTGTGTTTGTTCTGATTTATTATGAGAAGGAATTGACTCAAGAACTTTGTAATGACCAGCAAGATTGATTGTATAATAGCAATGGGAAGGCAAAGAGAAATAAACCAGGATGGCTAATCATATGGATGAGGCAAGACAGGGAAACTCACCTTATTCATAATTCTAGTGATTGTGTGAGATACCGAAAAACAAATACACTTTTTTAGCCAGGCACGTGATGATGATGTCAATTATTGTTAGGGCTGCATTTTTGTGTTCTATGAACACACACACAATGCAAGGATTTAATGAGAGACATTACAGTGACGAATACATAATCTTCAGCTCTTTTAAACTGAACAGTTGTCGTTTGAGCACATTCCATGCCTAAGTTTGTCTACTTTGGAGCTAATATGTTTTAGTCTGGAGAAATTAATCAGTACAGGTTGGGTTAAAAAAAAAGTAAAATAGTTTTA